GAGGTGGGATAGCGCTGTCGGCCTCCTGTGCCCTCCTGAGTCACATGGGTACCTTCTGGAGGTTTCTATGGAAAACAATGCCTATTTAGAGTATTTGGCCTAGTGATTCATCCCGTGTATTAAATAACAGGGACAAGCAGCTGTGCTTAGGGGTTCTGAGTAACCGCCACAAGGTTGAAATGGCTGTATCCTATTGAAATCCTTCCAACTCAGAAGCCACTGAGAAATTGCAAACTTGATATATTGTAAACTAACCGCAGACACACTAGTGTAAGTGGAAAGCCTCTCTCTCATATTTTCTTCCCTCTCCCTCCCTCTTTTTCTTGTCCTTCCCTCTCCTGCCAGAGATGGGGATTGTTGCCCTTGTTTGTTTCTGGAGAGGTGGGGACTGAGGAGGGGCAAAGCTTTCGCTGAAAAGCAAGTGTGAAGCCACTGGTGTTTTTTATTTTGTTCTTTTTAAGGTTTGCTTTGCACCATGGGGTGCGTGCACTGGATAGAAGAACAGTGAGAGGGAAGTGAGAAATCAGCCCCCAGGGCATATCCCCTTCTCCCTTCTCCTCCTGGGATCTTGAACACACATGCACACGTACCCAGTGAGAGTTTCAAACTGCTGGGTCTGGGATTCGATTAATGGTCAGCCATGTGGGAATCCAGTGCCTTAACCACCACACCACCTGCTGGCACTGCCAGGGGTGTTTCTGTTCAGTCTTTTAGCTTTTTCGTAAAGTTTTTTGTGAAGTGGAGATACTCATTGACAACCCAGTATTCAAGTGTCAGGCCTTTCCAGGGGCTCTCTGCAGTAGTGGTTGTGGAGCGTAAGGCGGATGGTCCTGGAGAGCACAGCGGGGTGGGCCCAATCTTAGAGGATGAATTCATTCCGGAAGACTGGAGAGGCAAAGGGTAGCCCTGTCTCCAGGAATAAAATTGGGAACCACAGGCCGGTGACTGGGTGTTCTGCTGTCTTGGCTCCGGGCATGACCAAAGCCCGTCCTTGCTGAGTCACACCAGCACCTCTGGAACAGGCAGGGGAGCTGGCCAAGCTGCCTGTAGCCGCCCAGTGAGAGTGCTGGTCAGCAGGGTGGGCTTGGTGGCCCTGTGGAGAGGGCCAGAGTTGGGGAAGTGGTGTGGACTGAAGGTCGTGAAGAAGGCGGTAAATCCAACTCAACTGCTTCCAATGGCTTCTTTCCCAGTTGATTGGCCTTGGATTATTTCAGAGGCCCTCCATCTGGCTTTTGTGGGAATCTAGTTGCTATAGAGAAATTGCCTTTTTTTTTTTTTTTTTAAAGAATTATTTATTTTATTTTGCTATAGGGCATGTGCACTTGCAAGAGAGTGAGCAGGAAAGTGAGAGAGCAAGCCGCCAGGTCTCGGAGTTAAACCATGGTTGGCCGTGTGGGAGTCCAGCTGCTTAACCACCGTGCCACCGCTGGCCTGACCGAGCCCAATCTCATCTGATCTTGTGAAGCTAAGCAGGATTAGGCCTGGTTAGTGCTTGGATGGGTTAGAGATGCCATCAAAACCTCTCCTAATTGAGTCGATCTAGAATAAAACAGCCAGGGGGCTGATTGGACTTCCAGGAGGAGAAGCACCCAGGCCACCAGGCTCTGGAGGAAGGAGACGGAAGCAGAGGTAGTGGATAGTAGGTGGGGACCTTCCGGAAGTGAGAGAGCAGAGGCAGAATGCACAGGGAGGCAATGCTGCCCGACTGTGGGTGGTTCCTGGGTCCTTGTTCATGTGTGTGCTCTGTGGGCGAGCTAAGCCCAAACCCTTATGCTGCTCTCCTGGAAACCTCTGGGTCAGAACTCAGATATTTGGGAAGGACGGCCATGGGCTTATATTAACTCCCACCACCTAAGAGCCCTCGGAGACTGCAGCGAGCACCATGGGTCTGCAGAAACGGCCCAGTCTGTGTTCTGTTGCGTGTTCTGAATACCAGAGACTGGTTATGTGCAAGGAGTAGAGATTTGTTTAGTTCCGCGTTCTGGGGGGTCAAGGTCAAGGTGAGGGCTGTTGTCAGGGTCTTGAGATGGCACATGGCACAGGGTGTCACGTGGTGGAGGGCATGCGTGTGGGCCGGCTCTGGCCTCACTCCTCCTCAGGAGGGCCACCAGGGTTCAGTCCCGGGCCGGCTCCCTGACCACTTTATCCACCTGACTTCCTGAAGGCCCCACCTCTTAATAACTTGGTCAGATTAAGTGTCTACCTTCTTGTTTTGTAAAGAATCATTTATTTATTATCGTTGTTATTTTTAAATTTTACTCTAGGGCATGAATGCTCTCCACACAGGGATAGAGAAAGAGAGGGAAAGTGAGAAAACAAGCCACCAGGCCTGGGACTTGAACCATGGTCAGCCATGTGGGCTCTAGATTTCTTTCTGGTGTTTTAATTCCCAGAGGGCATGGACATCCTTCAGAGAGAGAAAGCAGCTCTCAGTGGGCATAGTCATGCCACAGTCCCTTCTCTGTTTCTCGGTTCTGTCCAGATTTGGGACATGCACACACACGTGCCCCGTGTTTTTCAGGCTGCCAGAGCTGGGCCCCAGACTATGGTTGGCGATGTGCACGGAGCTTAACAGTTGCACGACCAGGCCTGGCCTCCACCTTCTTTGTTCTTTGTGAATAGACTTGCCAGACGGCATGTGTGCTTAGAGGTTACGGGGAAGCGAGAAGGCACCCTCCATGGAGGTCCCTCATTCCTCCTTCCTTTGGGATTTTGGGCACACACGCATGCACCTGCCCCTGGTGTGTTTTTAAGCTGTGAGACCCAGGACTCAGGCCACGCAGTTGGCCATGTGGGATCCAGCTGCCTTCACCACCACACCTCCGCTGGCCCTTCACCTTCATACTGCCACATTGAAACCATAGCAAGAAGAAAACCTGACATGGCCAGCTTTCTGGGTCTGTCCGTCCCTCGTGGGCTCCCTGTACCAAGGCTCTGTGTTCCTCATGGAGAGCACAGGACAGGGACTCGGGCAGATGTCCAGGGCTCGTCCTCAGCTAAACTATCCCTTTCATCCTGTGTTGCGGGCGTCATCAGCTCTGACGCTTCTGTTCAGAACCCAGGCTGCGTGGGCACCTGGAGCCCACCTGCTCTCGCCCTGTGGGCGGGATTGGCTGTCCCCACCACGAGCTGCCCCTGCCGAGGTGGCCTGGGCTCCACGGTGTGCTCCAGCCCACGCTGGCTCTTTAATTCTCACTCCCTGCCTGGAGACCCCAGAACGACCGCAGACGACTTCTGGTCAGTCATACCACTGTGCGGGCAGTGCTGCCTGTGCCCCCAGCCGTCTCCGATGACCGACAGACGTAGTGCTCACTTAGAAGCTGGCGCAGGGACTGGGCCCACAGGACCGTGGCTTGACCGTAGTTTCCAGGCTCCTGAAGGACGGGCCACACTAGAGTTAGTGAGGAGCCCAGAGGGCCTTGCGGGGAAGGAGGAGTGGCGCTCTGCATGGTGCCACCTCCCCCATGCACATCAAGGACACAGAACCCCCTGTGGCTGCTGGAAAGAGCTCACTACAGCTGAGATGGGGAGGCCACCCACCAGTTAGGGACAGGGATGCTGTGGGTGACATTGCGGTCGGGTCCAAGTCCTGCCATGTTCACTCCTAACGTGGCCTCCTAGCGTCGCTTTCCCCCTTTCAGTTGGACGAGGCCCTCCCGACCTCCGTGCGGCTCACTTGGATGTGGCTAAGCATTGGCGTTGGCCTGGCCTACTGGCGCCAGCTCGCCTGATGGTCACCGCTGTGTCACTGTGTGGGCCCCCTCCCCACCTCCCCTGAAAACTAGGCCAGGCTGCTCCGAGGTTTCTGGCATCTGCTCTCCTGCCTCTTCTGCCCCAGGTCTGGGAACATTCTGGAAACCTGCCCACACACAGCCTCTCCGTCCCTGTCTGCCCCTACCACAGCGCGACTGTCCCACCAGGTTCCCCTTTCTCCTGAGCCAGGTGACTAGGAAGCACCCCTTTCTCCTTAGTTTGGTTGCGTGACAGCTCCAGCGGCCCCCGCACAGCCCCCGGCCAGGCCTCATCCCATGTACACACACCAGGAGCACCTTCCCTGGCCACCCTCGTGCCACCCAGAGCCCTAGTTCCCACTGCTGTTAGGCGCTGGGTCCCAGCGGACGTGTCCCTTTGCCTTGTCAGTTCTGTCTTCACCGTCACTGCTCTGTGCCGAGTGGCCACAGTGCCGGTGTACTGGCTTCCCGTGGGAAGGCAGGGCTGACCATACTTCACCCACAGGTTACTCGTTCTTTGCCTGAAGCTCACATTTAACCCAGCACGCTGGATTTCCCGCCCCAGTCTGAGCAGGCACAGTTGTGGCTGACCCTGGAGCCAGTGCCAGGCTGAGCTGTTCAGCCACCTCCGAAGGTCTGGTGAAGGCTGAGGCTTTGGATGGTCCTTACGGAAATCTAAAACTACCCCGAGAGCATAGGCCCACGGTGTGCATACCTTGACACCAACCTGCTCAGAGTAACCACTGCCTGCCATGAGAGTACAGGGTGGGGCCTGCACCCGTAGCTGAGTCCTCCGTGTAAAGTCAAAGGGCCTGAGGGAACCCCCACTGCATCGCCAGGTCTGGAGAGTGGGAACGTTATAGTTCGTTGCCACGGAGGGGGAAAGACCTTGGCTCCTGGCCTGGTGCATTGGCGTGTCACATGCACGCGGGGCGCTGGAGCAGCCAGGCTTCGGAGGACAGCATACCTGAGTTCGATTCTGGTGCCACCACTTTTGTGACCTGGGACCAACCAGGGACTTAATCTTATGGTGCCAGCCATGTTTTCTTTGATAAAATGGAGAAAACGCCTGTTGTGGAATGTTGCTAGGGGACTAAAGTCAAGCCAGTAAGGCACAGACATTGGAACCTAGGTACCAAATCTGAGTGCCGGCGGCGTGCATTGGGCACCCCGGGTTTAGCGGGTTTAATGCGTAGAAGTCTGCTTTGGGGTGACCTGGAGGGAAGAACTGCTTCGCCAATGACTTTCTGTAATCTCTGAATGTTCTAGGATTAACGCAGATTCCTCAGATCCAAAAGACGGAAATTGCCTTTCGTCCTAATGACCCCAAGAGCTACGAGGCGTATGTGCTAAACATAGTTCGGTTCCTGGAAAAGTACAAAGATTCGGCCCAGAAGGATGACATGATTTTCGAAGACTGTGGCAGTAAGTAGACTGACTCCTTGTAGGCGTTTGTAGCTCGTTGCCTTTTTTGTTAGTTCTTATTTTCCGTTTCTAGGTATCATTTAATGAGACGTACTCCTGAGGTAGTTGAGAGCGTGAACTCTGGGCGTGCAGAGAAGGAAGCTGGGGATGCCGTGAGGGAGGTGGGGTGGCCTCCATCACTGTTCTTGGCATCCGAAAGGTGCCTTCCTTCAAAATAGACATCTCCGCTCGCTGTGACTCAGGCCTAGAGACCACCGAGGAGCGTGCACGGGTCCTTCCCACCAGAGTGAGGCTTTGGTGGGATGAGCTGTACCCACACTGGGACTGAGGGAGGGGGCTGCGTGGCCACCGAGCGCTTGGTCGATCCTGGTTGGGATCTACACCCCTGAGCATTTTGGATAGGGAAAGGAAGCGTGCGGCCTTGGACTGACATGAGGACAGTCGTCCTTGCGCCCGCAGCGTGAGCTTCCTGACCCTTCTCACGCCACTGAAAACTCTGCAGGTTACTGGGCAGTCCCACCGTTCTGGTGTGCGTAGCAGGCTGGTCCTGGGGTGACTGGGCACATTACGTTACTTAAACATTGCCACCGTGAGTTTTTCATTGAAATTGCTTTAATCGCCAGAAAGGACTGTGTGCTCTCGGGGTGGGGGGATGCCCCATGGGGTGTGGTCGCACTACAGTCCCGTCTCCATTTCTCCGTCCTGTCGGGGTTTGGGGCATGCAAGGGCGTGTACGCAGCCTGTTCTTTCAAGCCTCCACGGCTGAGGTTCCAGCTCTGGTCAGCTGCGAGTGATCTGGCTGCCTTAACTACCGGGTAAGAGGCTGGTCCTTTCGGTAGAATTTCTGTGAGATTTTCATCTAACTTTGTAGTAATTAAAAAGGCTTGAATAACTAACCAAGGGGTTCACTTAACAAGTGATGGACTCAACTGAGGCATTTTGCCATTTGAAGGAAAAAGAATTAATTTATGAACTTAAATGATGTATGCACGCAGACACACACGCCATTTCCCTGCAGGGTGCTCCATGTTCACCTTGAATTCCGTATTCATTTAGTCCTCTCTGGCTTTTATGTGAGGTTAAATTAAAAATAGTAGAATAACATTTCTTCGTTGAAGAAACACTTAAGAGAACTCATAGCTGTCAATGGTAAAAAAAAAGATGTTGGTTAAAAAGGAAAAATACCCATTTTTTTTCCCCACCTCTTCCTTTACTGCTTAACATGCTGGTTTGGGGCATAGCTTCAGGAAGTTCTGATCAGAAAACTTCTGGTTCTGAAAGTCACGGAGGATTCTCTAACTTGTGTTCCAATTATATAATAGCTGAGCTAGGCCGGTGTGGACCTGTGTAAACAGTGCTTACATAAAGCAGGATCCAGTTTCCTCTCAGTCTTCGAAGTAGCTGAGTGAGCCATTATTTAAAGAAAGAGAAATAATGCCAGAGGCCAAGTACCATGCCTTGATCCAGCCTGTGAACCTCCGGCGTGGGGTCACATACCAGCTAATGCTTCGGCAAAGTATCTTTGTAATATGAAGAGATGAGAGCTCCGTGGTAGAAACCCTCGCTTAGTTCAGACCCTCAAGTTCCTTAAAGGCAGGAGCGCTGTCTCAGAGCAAGAAATAGTGCCAAGGAAGGAAGTTTCGATCTCTCTTAGGCAGTCATGCTAAGGGAATTGCCTGCATCACGTGAAAATGCCTTTGTGTTTTTAGACGTGCCCAGCGACCACAAAGACCGAGGAGAATTTAACCATGAAGGAGGAGAGCGAAAGGTCTGCAGGTTCAAGCTTGACTGGTTGGGAAATTGCTCTGGAATAAACGATGACAGTTATGGCTACAAGGAGGGCAAACCTTGCATCATCATAAAGCTCAACCGAGTTCTGGGCTTCAAACCGAAGGCAAGTGATGTTTTTGTAAATGCTAGCACTAAGACGGGCCGTCCACACTGCGGACGAAGTTCTTAGTTGCTGTATGAAGACGGTACAGGACCAGTTTTGAAGTCCAATCAGTAGAGCAGTACCACACATCTGTACCCACCCTGCCCTAACGTGGAGTGAGGGCATTCATCTCGTTTGCTAAGTTAGAGACGTCGTAAAGTGAGTCCAGTGGCCCCTGTTCTTAATATTTCTACTCAGTATTCAGGTAACAGTTTCTATAACATGAAAATAGAAGAAGATATTTTAAAATATAAACCATCTGCACGTGCAGTCATATTCTGGTTTTGGTCCTCTTGGAACCATAAGAGTATTTCAGAAAAATTGATCTGGTAACCTGAAAAAGTTCCCTTTTTTTTTTTAAATAATGGTTTTATTACAAAAATAAAAGTTGAACACCATCTACACTGAACTTAGGTGGCCGTGCTGTCAGCTTTCTGCGCGATTGCAGCATAGAGGGGGTAACCTTTACTCGAGGTCAGGGAAGATGGCGGATGGCCATTTTCACCATTTGGTGAGATTCTGTACTCCTTCAAAGGGAGGAAGAATGTATTGGTTTGCCTTCACTTTTATAAAAGTGGTTATTCGTTCTGTCTCAGGCAGGAATTAAACAATGCTGCGCCTTCCATTAAGCCTGACTTCTTCCGTCAGGGACCCCAGGACCCCTGTGAGCACCCTATTGCGACTGAGGTTTTAATCAGATGGGAAGTAACCTCTGGACTGTAGTGAGTGACGTCATGGGCTCACTTCATGTCTCTCTCGTTCACTGATGGCCTACTGAATGCTCTTCATTGTATCCACGAAGCTTATCATCCATGAATATTTCAGCAGAAAATCAGTGTAGAGATGAAAAGTTTTGTACTGAGATCCACAGACACTCTTCTACTGCCCCCAGCGGTGTGGGAGGGTGCAGGGAGCAGTCTGGCTCCGGCTGGCTGGCTCGATGGGTCTCTTGCAGAAATCAATGTGTGTTGTACAATTCTAATCTCCCCCCACACACTTAGACTAGAAATATAGTGGGGAAAAATGGTGAGCTCCCTTACGCTGTGCTCGGCTGTGATATCCCCATTACTGGGGAACACTTTGCCACACTGTCCAGCTAGTTAGCAGTGGAAGGACTTGGTGTGGCCAGAGGAAGACTGACCCAATCTCTGCTCTCTGGGTCCTGGCTTTTGATAATTTTCAGCAGAGATATTAAATGACTCTTGTACACACAGGCCATCTGTTCAGTCTGCGGTGAGTCATGCGACCCCCGACGGGGCATGGCCACACCATAGCACCTCCCCGACGTCTGCACAGATCATCTGTTGAGTGATAACTTCTGCTACTGTTTCTTCTCAGTCCTTTTGTTTTTCTTTTTTATTTGATGTCTACTTGACTAACGTTTGCCACTTACTAATTCTCGTCTTTCTTCAAGTCCCCAACTATTTTGTCACTGGGATTATTTCTGCCAGAGATTGTAGTATCCCAGCATCTCAGCTGCTGTGCCTGCTTCCTGACAGAGGGTACATTCTACAGCTCTCATCAATAGTGTTTTTCTTCACATCCTCCAAGGTTAGGCTGCTGATAGAAAGTTCATAAAGAGTCAGATCTAAGTAACCATTTTATGTTTTCTAAAACAAAGAGTAGTTAAGTGTGCAATGTCTCAGGTCGAGACTTGCCTGCGGGGCTGATGAGGGTGAGCAGGTAGCCTCACCTGCTGTGTCATGACACTTCTCAGGTGTCTGAGCCGGGGTTGGGGAGAGGAGGTCTGGCTGTCTCACTACTGCAGGAGTTTCCATACTGGACTCTGGGGCCTGTCCATAGAGCCAGTCCTAATAAACACCTCTGCATTTTGGGGAGTGTGACATTTCCCTGTTTTATACTTTGAACTTCCTAATAGAACTGGGGAGAAGACATAAACAGTGGGCCATCAGAGAAGTCATGATGAATTTTTGCATAGAAAAATAGACAAAAAATATGTCGTGACTTTTCTGACAACCTAATAGTAGTATGCTCCCTCCACCCAAGATTTTTCTAAAAGACACAAAATAGAAAACTTACTGGAAAAAGGCATTTTTTTTTTTCTCTTTTTTTGGAGAGGTTTTTGCTATAGGGTGCGTGCGGTCGCCAGAGAGACAGAAAGCGAAAAATCACCCCCCCCGCCCCCGCAGGGGGGATGGCCACGCCTCAATCCCTTCTCCTCTATTCTCCTCTTGGGATCTCGGGCACGTACGCACACGCATCCGGTGTAAGCTTAAGCACTGGGTCCAGGACTCGAACCGTGGTCGACTCCATGGGAGTCCAGCGACATAGCCATTACGGTAACTGCTGGTCCCCATTTTATTTATTTTTTTTCTATACTTGCTAGAGGGCGTGTGTGTTCGCCAATGAGAGAGAAAGAGAGAGAGAGAGAGAGAGACTCCCCAATGGGGCTTAGACACACTGCAATCCTTTCTCCTCCATTTCTCCATTCTGTTGGAATTTGGGGTACATATGCACATGCACCTGGCATGTTTCCAAGCTGCCAGGATTGGGATTCAAACCGTGATCAGCTATGTGGGCTCTGGCTCCCTTAACTACTATGCTGCAAGGCCGGCCCTGGAATAAGGCATTCTGGAGGGAAAAGGATGGCATTGCCTATTCACGGCTCAGGAGGAAAGCCCAAGTCCTATAAAAACAGAAACATCAATCCACTTTCCCAAGTAATATATTCTTAGCAAACAAGTATTATTTGGGGGCAGGCTCTCCTTTTTCAGTGTCCTTGAGGAGAGTTGATAATGGATCACCATTCGAAGGTGCATGCAGGACATGCAGGACTGGGCCGCAGCACAGCCTCATTGCTGTGCTCACGAAACAGGGGCCCAACACGGTTTTTATTTTAACAGATCACAAACATGACCCTTCCTAGACTGGCTCGTGGAGTCATTCATTCTGCTGACCTGAGTGTGTGGTCACTGTGGTTCACTTACTCTAACCAGGGTGTACTTCCTTGGCGACAAAGTAGTTTTATAGAAATTTTAATTTCCCAAGATTAAAGTAGCTATTTCTGATCTTACTGACCAGTGTGGGTTTTATTTTTAGCCACCTAAGAACGAGTCCTTGGAGACATACCCGGTGATGAAGTATAACCCCTACGTCCTGCCTGTTCAGTGCACTGGCAAGGTAAGGGTATTCTTGGGCAGCTACTGCAGTGGTGGGAGGGTGGACCAGGAAGAGATGAGGATGAGTGAGGTGGTTTCAAAGTTAGTGGCAAAATTCTATTTTATTTTTGTAATTGTCAAAGGGCATGCGCACTTACCAAAGACAGAAAAGAGATGGAGAGAGACCCCCCAATATGGTGTGGTCATGCCACCGTCCCTTCTTCATTTCTCCATCCGGTTGGGACTGGGCACATAGGTGCATTTACCCAGCGTGGTTTTCAAGCTGCTGAGGCCAGGATTTGAACCATAGTTGGCCATATGGGATCTGGCTCCCTTAACCACTAGGCTACGGGGTTGGCCTGAGATAAAAATTTAATGTAAGAAGCAAGAAACATCACTTTCTGGCCTCAGTCCCTGCCGACTGAGTTGTAGCTGTCTGGTGGTTTTTGGGGTGCACAGCCTGTGTAAAACCGGGGACCAACTTTTTTGCAATTAGCCATTTCATGTGAAAATTTGGGGCTTGGGTTTCTTTGTACAAATTATTGAAAGATGAAGGTAACGATCAGCAAGCATTCCCCCTAGATCTAAAAGCAGGAATCCCAAACAGTGTCCTTTAATGCCAGCACCACGGGAGGAGAGGGACATGAGAAAACGAGAGGCCAGTGCTTGGAGCTTTGGAGGGACCGTCATTGGCGACAGTGTCCACGGCCAGCACCGAGATGTAGCTTTCCACCTGGTCCTGTTCCCGGGGCCCGTGCTGGCTGAGGTGCTTATTTGGCCTTTGCTGCAGGTTCACCCTTTGCAGTGAGAAACGGCCTCCTTTTGTGACCATTTCTCATGGCTGCCACAGTTAGACTGTGTCCTTCCCGCTGTGAGCAGGGCGTGTCGGAGCCCTGAGCACCCCTGCAGTGGCAGCGTGCATACACTGCTCTGTGGGGAGGGCGTCTTGCTTAAAGGTGGTGGTCCAGGTATAAGCCATGTCTTGTGCGTTTCCCTCTGGTTTCCAGCGAGACGAGGACAAGGACAAAGTGGGGAGCGTGGAGTACTTCGGCCTGGGCGGCTACGCCGGCTTCCCTCTGCAGTACTACCCATACTACGGCAAGCTCCTGCAGCCCAAGTACCTGCAGCCCCTGCTGGCCGTGCAGTTCACCAACCTCACCATGGACACCGAGGTGCGCGTCGAGTGTAAGGCGTACGGGGAGAACATCGGGTACAGTGAGAAAGACCGTTTTCAGGGACGCTTTGATGTAAAGATTGAAGTTAAGAGCTGATCACAAGCACAAATCTTTCCCACTAGCCATTTAATAAGTTAAAAAGATACAAAAACCTACTAGTCTTGAACAAACTGTCATACGTATGGGACCTACACTTACTCTGTATGCTTTACACTAGCTTTCTGCATTTAATAGGTTAGAATGTAAATTTAAAGTGTAGCAATAGCAACAAAATATTTATTCTACTGTAAATGACAAAAGAAAAAGAAAAATTGAGCCTTGGGACGTGCCCATTTTTACTGTAAATTATGATTCCATACCCGAGTCGTAGCAAGCAGTGTTCCTGGCCCCTAAGTATTGCTGCCTTGTGTATTTTATTTAGTGTACAGTAAATACTATGGGTGCACACTCTGGTCGTTTTTCAAGCCATGTTTTATCGTATCTGTTTTCTACTTCATGTGAGCAAGGTTTGCTGTCCAAGGTGTAAATATTTAATGGGAATAAAACTGGCATGGTACTTTTGTTTCTTGGGTTTGGCTCTTTCAGATAATGGCCCACCCGTGAGCATTTCTCACACACTCCATAGTCTCTTCCTGTGGTGTTAGGTCTTCCTTTATTTTCTTCCTGGGGCTGGGGGTGGGCTGTCATGGGGGAACTGCCCTTTAAATTTTAAGTGACACTACAGAAAAACACAAAACGGCGATGGGTTGTGTTGTGCTTTGTACGAGTGCTGTCCTGACACCGCTCCCCCGTCGCTGAGTCCCGAGGCGGGGTCTGGAGCTGGGCCCGCCCGTCGCTTTGGCTGGTGACAGGGCTCGTTCACTTGCTTTGTACATTTTTCTTTGACTTTCCTTTTTTCCTTTCTCTGGAGGCATCACATGCTGGTGCTGTGTCTTTATGAATGTTTTAACCATTTTCATGGTGGAAGAATTTTATATTTATGCAGTTGTACAATTTTATTTTTTTCTGCAAGATAAAGTGTAATGTATGAAATAAACCAAAGTCACTTGTTTGAAAAGAAATCTTTATTTTGAACTTTATAAAAAGCAATGCAGTACCCCATAGACTGGTGTTACATGTTGTCTCCAGTGCAAAATCCATGTTCTGACATCTGTAGTACTGGCAGGGGCCCCGTGCTCCTGCTCCTCTTGTATTCAGTCAGGTTGAAACAATGGACAATAAAAGAATGAACACACCCTCACTGCGTGGTCCCCTCTTCTGTGAGTGCTCCAGCCCTGACACCGCTAATTATCCAAGATCTTGAAGAAATACTGCACCTGAAAGACACACACACAGTTTTGTTGGTTCCCAGGGAAGTTTGGCCTCTACCCTGTCAGAAGCCAGAGCACGCCAGTGCTTGGTGCCAGGTGACAAAGACCGGGGGCTCAAGGCAGAGAGGGCTGCTGCCGCGAAGGCCGGTGTGGTGTGGACCACGCTGCAGAGCAATTCCACCCGGTTTAGAAAACAGGGCGTTTTGGTTCCTGCTAGCACTGCACTATGGATGTCTGTTCAAAAAAAAGAAAAACGTTTAGTTGTTAGAGTTCAGTTTCAGAAAATGTGAAGTTTAAATGTCAGTAAACAAGAAGGTTCTTGCCTAAAAAACATTTGGCCTAAGTCTTTACTTAGCTCGAGGACAGATTGCTGACTACTCTTCCAATTCTAAGAGGTTTTCCAAGGGGCCTGGCAGAGTAACGTCTACACATAGCAAAGTTGCTGTAACAGGCACTTTGGCCTGGTGACCGGGCAAGTCCTGCCCGCGCGGCAGCACCAGGTGAGCAGCAAGGCCTGTCTGTGGTCAGACTGACTCCGAGTCTCTGAGATAAAGACATGTGTTTCGCTTGAAGTGAACCCAGGAGTTTCTAAACCCACCACCAACCTACAAACCCTTCCTTCCTCTCCTTTTTGGGCCAGGCCAATGAGAAGACTCCTTACTCTCCCCAGTTTGTGTCTTCTCAAAACTGCTGCACCTGAGCAACCCAGAAAACGCTTTTTCTGGGCAGCCACTCAAATTTGTGCTTACACTAAACCATGTTTCAATGATTTCTACAGAACTTGGTTATTTCCATCAGCAAACTGGATTTAACAATTAGGCTTGGTATAAAGACCACAAAACCCAGCTCTGTAGAAAATATTGCCAGGCACCAGTAGGTGGCGTGGTGGTTACAGTGCTGGACTCCCACTTGGCCAATGGTGGTTTGAGTCCCAGACCTGGCGCTTGCTTTCTCACCCCACTCCCACACTTTTCTGTCTCTCTGGAGAGTGCATGTCCCTATAGCAAAATTTAAAAAGAATAAAACCTAAAAATACAAAACAAAAGCATTTCCCCCAAAACAGTGAGCTGAAGATGTAGGACAGCTTTACCAACATGGACAATAAATACTCACACTCATGACATCCTAGTTCTGAAAATGGAAACGTCCACATGGCCTGAGCAGTTGGTGTGCAAAGCAAATCCTTCCTGCCTTCAGGCCAGTCCTGAGAGACTGGTTTGGGGGGGACAGAGTGGCCTCCTGTCCTCTGCTGACCGAGAGGTTAAGGCCTTGTGACAGCACCGCTGATTTGAGACACTCGAGCAACTCAGTTCCCACCTTACCCTCCGGTTAGGACCCTCTGATCTGTCTCCTTGTTTATTTAAGAATGTCACCTGAGACCTTGCTACCTCTGGAGAACAAGGTCCCCATTCATCATGAGGCAGAGGCACCATGGAAATGGCACACCTGTTAAAGTTTCTAGGAGCCTTTGTTGAGTTTTGTGGAACACAACAAAATCCACAAACAGCACCCCTATGTAAACCTGCTCTTCTCAAAGAGCTAACCTTGCATTTATGGAAAGGAAACACCATTCCTGCAAGAGAGAGTGGCTTGTTTTGCTGAAACCAGCTCATTTTCCAGGATATATCTGAGTCTTAAACCTGTAATGTTTGTAAAGAAGAAGGGGAACTTTAGGACTTAGGACAGGGGACCATTTATTCAAACTGGAGGGGAGTTGGCATTTTGAGCCTTGGTGAGACAAACAGCCCACTTTTACCTAAACTGCACCTTTGTTCTGAGCCACCATGTGGGGTGTGTGTGTGTGCCATGGGTCTTCAGGCTCTATCATGCTGGGAGAGCACCTTCATTCTGAGCCTGTGTGTGTGTGTGTGTGAGAGAGAGAGAGTGAGTGCCATGGGCCTTCAGGCTATATCACGCTGGGAGAGCACCTTCGTTCTGAGCCACCGTGTGTGTATGTGTGTGTGTGTGTGTGCGCGTGTGCACGCACGTGCATGCCCCATGGGCCTTCAGGCTATATCACGCTGGGAGAGCACCTTCGTTCTGAGCCTGTGTGTGTGTGTGTGTGTGTGTGTGTGTGAGAGAGAGAGTGAGTGCCATGGACCTTCAGGCTATATCACGCTGGGAGAGCACCTTCGTTCTGAGCCACCGTGTGTGTGTGTGTGTGTGTGTGTGTGTGTGTGTGTGAGTGAGTGCCATGGGCCTTCAGGCTCTATTGCGCTGGGAGAGCCCAGTGTGGTGCGTAGCCTCCGACTGAACAGAACTTTGCTGCCTGCCTGTACGCGCCATGCACACCCCACATAGCGAGAGACAGCTCCACAGTGACACAGCGGACAGAAAGCTACCTCCTTCCTTTGCGCCTGCACTCCTGTCTCCCACTCTTGCTCTGCATGTTTTGATCTTGGTTGTCTCATTAGTTGACTCCGACCCTTATCAGGTGACACGTGACTTGGGCACAAGGGCAGCACCGCCTGCCTTCCAGGGGACATTCTTACTACATCTGAGGAGGGTTTCCACTGAAGGCCAGTCATCCCAGCACCTAACCAGTCACACAGGGTACAAAGGAGCAGGGCTTCCAAAGGTTGGCCGAGCATTACTGGGGATCAAGAGTGTGGGCATAGAAGGCAAAGAGAAGAGAAAGTGTCCTCAGGTTTTTTCAATCCACCCCATTCTCTGAAGGAAAGGTACAACCCGGGTTAGTGATGTCTGCACCCAGGCTGAGCTCAGATAAGGGGAGCCGGGCCTTGGGCTCCAAGCCTTTGGTAAGCAATATTATCTAGCTAGACTCGAATACCTTTTGTTTCCATTATATTTATTACCATTGATTAAGGTCAAGTAAAACTAGTTTTCTATTTATAACAGTAAAATGAATCTATTAAAAAAATAGCAGTGAATGGATTTAAGGAAAAATAGTAAATAAAACATCAGGTGGTACTTCATGGTGAAATCACCGTGGGAGTGATGAAAGGCTGACGATAATTTAGAACAGTTTGCTTAAAAGTACAGCATTGGGCAGCCCAGCGACACGCTGCGATGGGAGTTGCCCTGGAGGTCCTGGGTTCCCATCCCAAGGTCTCCCTGTACACCCCGGCATGTGCGTGTGGTCCTGGCTAGCCACGGCTGTGGGTGGATCATGCTGTGAAGACCCAGTTGGGGTGCCCCAGCCCCCATGGAAGAGATTAATAATTAAAATAAAAATACAGCATTAACAAACACCAGGGCTCTTGGTCCTGTGCCTACTGAGCAAGATCTAGTTGAAGCCCACCTATCACTGTTTTAGAGCCACACCCTAGTGCTTAGGCTGCACCCATGGAGGGAACTGCTCCAACTCCACGTGGAAAGCCCTATCCGGGGTCAGAGATGGAGTCCAGGTACCAGAAGCTGCCAAAGCTCCACAGCAGCTCAGCTCACGGCGTCTGCAGGATGGTAACACTCCAATATCTGACGTGGCTAATTCATGTGGCTCACGGAGGAGTGCCACATGAGCTTGCCCCAGGAGTCTGACAGAAGGTCCTGTGAATCCCGAGGGAAACTATCCAAGCAGTTTTAATCAAGTGAGTAAAGTAATGTTGGTTTCAACTCCACAGGGAGAGAGTAACTCTCTCCTTTCTTCTTTGGTGTGTGTGCTGGGGTGTGGGGAGGGTGGCATAAATCAGATCCGTCACCTGTCACCCCAAGGCTGAACACAGGAAGATGACCAGGAAGTAGATACACCTATTATTCTTACAACAGAGGGTACGGTTAGCACCCGTGTTTGACCCAGTGTGAAAGAGTCAGCCCAGGCAGGTATGCTTTAATTCCATGTTTTTCTCTGAGAGACTCAGCCTCAGAATGGCCTGAAGGATTAAGTATCTTACTAAGATACTGAAACATACTTTTTCATATTTTTATTTAAATTTTTTTTTAACTATGTAATTTTATTTTATTTTTTATTATTATGTAATTTGCTATAGGGCACATACACTTGAGAGAGAGGGAGAGAGAAAGTGAGAAAGTCAGCTGCCAGATCCAGACTTGAACTGTGGTCAGCCATGTGGGAGTCCAGTGCCTTAGCCACCATACCACTTGCTGGCCCCACGTACTTTTAAGAAAACTTATTCTGGGAGAGAGAGAGAGACAACATCCGCAACAGGGCCTTGACACCACAGCCCACCCCGGGCCTCAGCCCATGCAGCTCTTGGGCGCACGGTGCCCGGCATGCCGAGGGAGGGGCCGGCCCAGGTGGAGCTGCCCCGCAGTGCGTGGTCTCACTGCCATGCCACCGCCTGACTGCAGGCCTGGCAGTCCCACACGACTTCTCACACATGGACCCTGAACCGTAGGACGGCTTATGCTCATGGGAACACGCCCTCCATCTGCCTCACCACACAGCCTTCAGGAAACCTGTGCTTTGAAACCAAGAGTCTTGGGACCAGCAGATGGCGAAATGATTACGTTGTTGAACTCCCACATAGTCAATGTGGTTCAAGTCTTGGACCTGGCAACTTAAAACTCACATGTGGCACGTGTGCATGTGTGCCCAAGATACCGAGAGGAGAAGGGATTGCGGCGTGGCCATCACCCCGGGAGGTGATTTCTCACTTTCTGATTCTCTGTCTCTCCAGTGAGTGCATGTGTTAATCTCTTGACAACAAACAAAAAACCAGGAGTCTTTCTGGCAGTCTGTCAGGGCCAGCTTTCCCAAGGAGGCACGCGCTCCCTTCCCAGGAAGAAGGTTGCACAGGTCGGTCTGAAACTCACCCCTCGCCAGCCCGAGATGGCCATCACTGGCTCTGTCTGTGCCTTGGGTGGTTCAGAACAAATGTCTGGTGCCCGTGGGAAGGCAGGGCGCCTTCCGAGCCCACCCCCTGCTGCGGAGCAGGGCTCCAGCAGGTGTCACAGCTCTGCGGAAGGGCTCTGGGCCGTGAGGGGCTGGCTAAGGCACTCGCGCTGT